GGTTACTGTCACTGGGCCACCCTAGGGGGAAAGCGTGCTGTCCCTTGGCCTGTTCCCCCTTGGTGGCTTGGTGGCCGCCATCCTCCAGAGGCCACTGGACAGTCAGTTTTGGGTCCTCAGTGATGAGACATGCGGGGCTTTGTGGGATGGGGGTGGAGCTGGCCCTTTCCTCCCTGTCCCAACGAGACCCTAAGTCGCTGCCCATGAACGGCCTTTCTGGCCGTTCAAGCTGCTTCACGGCCATGATCCCAGTGACTCAGGAGCAAATCTCGGAACCCAGCAGGTTTTGGTAGAAATCCCTCCAGATTTAAGTGTTAAAATTTCGGAATTTCAAAATCACGCGGCCACTACTGCAGCCATGTGACATCATATGTTATTCATAACCAGCAATAGAAAACAAATTGTCTACAGTTGCCTTTTCAGCAGATCTGAGTGTTGGGGTAAAATCTCAAATAATAGTGGTGAGTCTGGTGTCGAAATATTGAATGTGATCAAAGTAGAGAGAGAGTAATGTGGAAATCATCTGCCCCACAGGTAGGGGGAGGGTGTGGGATGGGGGTATACTGGGATTTTTGGTGGTGGAGAATGGGCACTGGTGAAGGTACGGGTGTTTCATTGTATGACCAAGACTTAGACCCGAAAGCTTTGTAACTGCTCTCACGGTGATTCAATAAATAAAATTATAAAAAATGAAAAAAAAAAGTAAGGTGGAGTTCATGCCCAATTCAATCAGCTAATCAGGGCTGAATGAATAGCAGTACTCCTACATAAAAAAAAAAAATAAAAACAACTATTTGAAGCTCTGAGTTTGCATTTAACCCACCTGGAGTGGTCTCTGCCTCAGATTCTGTGTTTTCCTGAATTCAGAACATGCATTTTGCTGATGGCGGAGCCAGGGTGTTAACCCACTGCCCTCCACCAGCTCCTCTGTGGCAGGCACTTCCCCCTGCCCGCAGTCCTCGTATTCCCTTCCCTGCCCCAGAGGGACCCACTGGAAACCAGTTCTCCTGCTCCCCATTTCCAGTGCCTTCGGGCATCTGATACTCCCCTAGGAGTTTTCTTCACCTCTGCGAGGTCATCCTAGGGTGTCTTTCCCCTTCTATCTCCCTTCTAGAAGTTTCTCCTGGGCAGAAGGGAGACCTAGGGGTTGGAGTGCTTGCTTGGCTGGCAGGAAATCCCTGGGTCTGTGTATCCCCAGGGCATTGCCAGGGGGCAACCCCCAAGCACTGAGCAGGGAGAGTCCCTGAGCACCACTGGTTATGGCTTAATAGAAAAACAAAAACAACAACAACAAACGACACAACAAAAAAAACAATAGAAGGCCCTGGAGCTCTGTATCTAAACAGGAATCTTCTGCAGCAGGGTGTGGGGGAGGAGGGGTGGGCTGCGAAACACCTACACCCAACCTGCTGGTTGTCCTCCTCCAGGCAGCCCTCAGCATAAACCATGAAAATCTCCTTCCTATTTTGTTTAATCATTTGACAATACTCTTCTGCAATCAACTGTTTGAACTGAACAAACTGGTTGCTAAAAGTGTGTACTGAAACTGTGGAAATTAGGAATTTCCTAGAAGTCTGATATCCATAAGTAACCACCAACAATGGCACATTTTGTCTGTTCATTTGAGGGCTAAACCTGGTTTCAAGGACCACATGATGAATGAATGCAAAGCCTGCACAACTTTTTTATTTTTTGCTTTTGGGGTCACACCTGACAATGCTCAGGGGTTACTCCTGGCTCTGCATTCAGGAATCACTCCTGGTGGTGCTCAGGGAAGCATATGGGATACCGGAGATATGGGATGCCAGTGGGATGCCAGTGATCGAACCCAGGTCAGTCGCATGCAAGGCAAACAGGAAATTTCCTCCCCACTGTACTATAGCTCCGGCCCGCCAACAGCCTTTAACACCATCTTCCAACTTTCCTTTCAGAACTAGTATCATTTTTACATTTGAAATCGTATGTATAATTTTAAATATATGTTTGGGGACCACACCAGGCAGTTTTCAGGACTTACTGGCTCTGTGCTCAGCGACCACTCCTGGCAGGGCTTAGGGGACCATATGCGATGCCGGGGATTGAACTCAGGTTGACTACATGCAAGGTAAACACCCTACCTGCTGTTCCATCACTCTAGCCCGAAACGTTTCTCATCTTTCTAAGTCACGTGACTTCATAATGAGTTCTTGTTTCTAGGAAGATGATCTTTCTCCCTGTGAAGCAAACAATGATGCATTTACCTAGTTACCAGAGGGACTGACTGACTTCTAGCGGTGCACGGGAGAGAAGTACCCTTGAACGGAAGCTTCCCACTCGTCATCTTTGTAAGTAATTTTGAAGTAAAAAGAGAAACTTAAAGGACAATAAGAATTCCTTCTGCGTCTTCAGAATCAGTCTGAACAAGGAGGGGTATAGTACTGGAAGTACTGAGTAAATATCATCTGTCGGAAGCACGATGTGCTTCAATGAGAAAAGCACCACACTGTGACTTCTATGTACGTTCAGACATACTCAACGCCCAATAAGTCACAACAACGGGAAAGCGCTCAACACCAGTGAAGTAACATACACTAAAAATGGCTACAGCGGTGAATTCTGTTCCATGCGTATTTTGGCACAAATATAAAGTTATAGTAACAAGTGAAGACTATACTAAAACTTGATTGGCTAATTAAGGTTGGTTATTAGAAATTCCAGATCAAGCCCAAACCACTAAGTCAGCAATGAAGTGAAGGTCTCTGTGAATGAATAAGCATACTACTTAAAAAAAAGCAACACTTTTTTCTCCTTTCAAATAAAATTACTTAACAGTTTTTTTATTTATATCTTCATTTCCTTCCTTCCTTCCTTCCTTCCTTCCATCCTTCCCTTCCTTCCCTCCCTCTCCCTCCTTCCTTCCTTCCCTCCTTCCTTCCTTCCTTCCTTCCTTTCCTCCCTCCTTCCTTCCTTCCTTCCTTCCTTCCTTCCTTCCTTCCTTCCTTCCTTCCTTCCTCCTTCCCTCCTTCCTTCCTTCCTTCCTTCCTTCCTTCCTTCCTTCCTTCCTTCCTTCCTTCCCTCCTCCCTCCTTCCCTCCTTCCCTCCTTCCTTCCTTCCTTCCTTCCTTCCTTCCTTCCTTCCTTCCTTCCTTCCTTCCTCCCCTCCCTCCCTCCCTCCCTCCCTCCCTCTCTCTCTCTCTCTCTTTCTTTCTTTCTTTCTTTCTTTCTTTCTTTCTTTCTTTCTTTCTCTCTATTTGGCTTGTTTTTGTTTGGGGGCCACATCCAGTGATGCTCAGGACTTACTCCTGCCTCTGCACTTAGGAATCACGCCTGGTGGTGCTCGGGGGGGGGGGTCATATGGGGTGCTGGGGATGGAACCCGGGTCAGCCATGTGCAAGGCAAATGCCCTACACACTGTACTATTACTCCAGTCCTTCATTTCTTATACACAGGTCACTAAAGGTTTATTCTGCAGGTCACGATCACGGTCCTCCCGTTGTTCATCGATTTGCTTGAGCGGGCCCAGTAACGTCTCCATTGTGACACGTGTTACTGTGTTTGGCATATCGAATACTTCATGGGTAGCTTGCCAGGCTCTGCCATGTGGGCGAGATACTCTCGGTAGCTTGCCAGGCTCTCCGAGAGGGGTAGAGGAATCGAACTTGGGTTTGCCATATTGACTGCGTGCAAGGCAAACACCCTACCGCTGTGCTATCGTTCCAGCCCTGTTCTGTAGGTAGTCGTAAAAAAGAATAAATATTACCAAAAAGCTCCTGAAAAAGAAATCTGTTGCATCTGTATTTGAGATTTGCAGTTCTGAGACTTTTAACATCAATGAAGTGCCTTTATTTAAACTTTACTTAAATCTCTATTTAAATCATTAAATCTATTTAAATCTTTATGTAAATCTCTAAAATTCCAACAGGGATAAAGGTAAAAGGTAAAGGCCCTCCCGTTAATCATCGATTTGCTCGAGCGGGCCCAGTAACGTCTCCATTGGAGACTTTGTTGTTACTGTGTCTGGCATATCGAATACTCTCGGTAGCTTGCCGGGCTCTCCGAGAGGGGTGGAGGAATCGAACTCGGGTCGGCCATGTTGGCCACGTGTAAGGCGAACGCCCTACCCGCTGTGCTATCGCTCCAGCCAACAGGGATAGTGAAGGTAAAATCCCTCCCTGCGGTGGGCTGCTAGAATCCTACAGTGCAGTCCTGAGCTTCTGCCCAGCCAGCTGTTCAGACAAGGCCACAGCACCAGCTCTGAGCATCTGGATTGATGGATCCAAGCAGCTATGTGACTTGGAACAAAATTTAAAAAATTTAAATGAGAACATCTGAGTGCTTTAAAATGAATGAGTATTCTCGCTCCCTCTCCCTTTCTCTTTTGCTGAAAAAAAGTGTTCAATCAATAGGATTAATAGCAGAATTAAATTCAAAATCCCTGGATTACAAGATCATGCTTGATGTCTATCAACAATTAAAGGGCATTAAGGAATAACAAGGAAGTAAGATATAAGACTTAGCAAGAGATCTTGTAGCTAGTCATACAGTACAGAGAAAGATCTCTAGTTTATTTCCAGCCTGGTTTTCCTAGAAAATTCAGATAGCTGAGGTTGCGTTTTTCTCTAACTTAGACATTCACTCGCAACTTTTCCCTTGTGCCATGATTTGAACACGGATACTAACCAGTTTAAAAAAAAAATTACACTCGTTATCATAGTCCTTCCTTTCTATTAAAGTTTCTCATTTATTGTTTTAATGTCCACTGTAGTCCAATTAGAACTTATTCTAGAATTGTAAATCAGGCTATTTTAAATGTTGTCAATTATGGTTCGATGAAAGAAAAATAACGCCTTTCTTCAAAACCAGGAGGAAGACCCAGAGTGAATTTCCAAGAACAACGGGGAAGGTGCCAACATAAACCGGATGACCTGTCATTCTGAATTCCACTTCTGGTCCTAGTGATTCTGGCCAGTATGAAGGAGATGGGGCCCAGGTGGACAGGGACAGTGGGAGCCACTCACTTACTGGAAACAGTTGGGTCCAAATACGGTGGCCAGATTGTGGATGTCCATGCGGTTCTGGGCCTGGTGCTCAGCCACTTTCCTCAGGAACCGGCAGAGGTACCTGAGGAGGCAGTAGTGAAGGTGTGGTAACTCTCGAATTAGGTCTCTCAAGCAGCTCTCCTGGGCACCCGTCTGGTCATCTACAGAGAAAAAGACCAACAGAAACATTCTCCAGCGTATTCCACATGGAAAACGGCACCCGGGTATAAACAAGGATGGCGTTTTATTCAGAGAAGAAATTCTTCCATCTTGAGGTTGAGCCAAACTATTTTTTCAAAAGGACATTTTGGCCTCTCTTGCGATCCTTAAGCATTTGACCATTTTGATGGGAGAGAAATTCTAAGATATTCAAGATATCCTGAGAACTAGGAGCTGGAGTCGGTGTGAAGAGTGACTCAGTTTAATTTTGTTTTTCTTTCCAAAATACAGAAAGTCATTGAGTTCTACCTATAACTGAATCTTCCAATTAATTTTTGAGTTTTGCCTATAATTGAATCTTCCAATTAAACAAACAAACAAACAAACAAACAAACATTGTCCTCCCGTTGTTCATCGATTTGCTCGAGTGGGCCCAGTAACGTCTCCATTTTTTGGAGACTTATTGTTAACTGTGTTTGGCATATTGAATATGTCACGGGTAGCTTGCCAGGTTCTGCCGTGTGGGCAAGATACTCTCAGTAGCCTGCTGGGCTCTCCGAGAGGGGTGGAGGAATCGAATTCCGGTGGGCCATGTTGGCTGCATGCAAGGCAAATGCCCTACCCGCTCTGCAAATCTCTATTTAAATCTTTATTTAAATCTCTAAAATTCCAACAGGGATAGTGAAGGTAAAATTCCTCCCCGTGGTAGGTCTTCCTTCCTTCCCTTCCTTCCCTCCCTCCCTCCCTCCCATTCCTCCCATTCCTCCCTCCCTCCCTCCCTCCCTCCCTCCCTCCCTCCCTCCCTTCTTTCCTTCCTTCCTTCCTTCCTTCCTTCCTTCCTTCCTTCCTTCCTTCCTCCCTCCCTCCCTCCCTCTGTCCCCTCCTCCCTCCCTTCCTCCCTCCCCTTCCTTCCTTCCTCCCTCCCTCCCTCCCTCCCTCCCTCCCTTCCTTCCTTCCTTCCTTCCTTCCTTCCTTCCTTCCTCCATCCCTCCCTCCTTCCTTTCTTTCTTTGAGCGGGAAGCTGCCATTTCAAGTTTGCTGAAAACAAGAATCTCTTAACTGAATAAAATCTGGCACAGGAGACCTTCCTGGTCACCATGAGAGACCTTGAACTTAATTATCCATTATCTGCACAGAGAAAACTGAAGAAAACTTCATATGGCTCTGTGTGTGTGTGTGTGTGTGTGTGTGTGTGTGTGTGCGCGCGCGCATGTATGTGTGTGTTTAATCTTTCACACTTCCAGGAGTTCAGAATTTTGAGCTCCTGGGAAGTTCTGAGATCTCTCAGAAGCATAATAACCTAATCTACAATTTGAAAAATTGATGGTTGCCAAAAATCACAGACGTGTGGCAGTTTTTTGAAACTTCCATTCTCCAAGATTTGCTTGGTCAATAGTTAAATAGTGCAAAGTTGCTGCCTTAAGGAACTTGGTATAGACTCACTCACTTTTTTTTTTAATTTTTTAAGTTTTTATTAGTGAGACATCATGAGGTACAGTTGCAGACTTACAAATTTTTGTGCTTGGGTTTCAATTATACAATGATCAAATACCCATCCCTCCACCAGTGCCCATCCTCCACCACCACGGGTCCCAGTATCCCTCCCACCCCCATCCCCCCCATCCCACCCTGCCTCTGTGGCTGGGCAATCCCCTGTGTTCTCTCTCTCCTTTTGGGTGTTGTGGTCTGCAAAAGAAACATTGAGTGGCAATCATGTTTGGTCTATAGTCTACTTTCAACCTGCATCTCCCCTCCTGGGAGGATCCTCCAAACATCCTTTATTTGGTGCTCCCTTCTCTATCTGAGCTCCCTGTCCCCCTAGCATGTTACACTCACCTTTCATGGCAACTAGTTTAGGGGAATCATTGCAACCTGTCCTTACACAAACCTCTAAGAGAATGGAAACAATTCCATTCTAATTAATACAGATGAGCTTTATCTTTTTTGTGGGGGAAGGGGCACACCCAGTGTTGCTCAGGGGCTACTCCTGGCTCTGCACTCAGGAATTACTCCTGGTGGAGGCAAGCGTCCCTCCCACTGTACTATCATCCCAGCCCCTGATCAGCTTCTTGATTTGTGTTTGGTCAGTAGCGTTAGCCTGTCAACTTCTGTTCGAGGAAGAGATACTGGGAGACAGGGTTACACAGTGCTGTTACTGCAGGAAGCACACACACACACACACACACACACACACACATCTCCTGAGGTCAGAGAGTGGCACAGAGCTCCGGAAGCAACGATGACTTGGATTCACTCCTTGGGTTCGGAGCGTGGTTCTGTTGCAGCCTGTCTGTGCGACCTTTAGCTCTGCTAAACGATTCCCCCATCATAAAAGGCAATATTAACCGCCTCATAAAGCTGTGATGAGGAGGAAATGAGTCAACAGTTATAAAGTACTTAATACAGTGGTTAGGTGCTATGTAAATATTTGTTCGATAAAATAACTTACTGTACCTTTACTCTTTTGGTTTTATGAGCACAGCTTTAATGAAATGTTTAAAGGCCCTTTAATAGGAGGCAGTTTCCACAGACTGCATATGGCAGAAACCATGCTGCACAAAATAGCACCATTAAAACTGTGTAGACTTCCTTCATGCCCTACCGAGGTCACGAGTTGCCCCCCACAAGCGGCTCTCTGGCATGGCCATGGCTCCAGAGGCAAAAGGACTTAGTCCAGAGCCTGGTAGCTTGCGGCAGAAAAGTGAATGGACCATGCATTAAACTACGGTGCCATGCCTCCTCGGAGGGAAAGGGTGTTGCTCCCTTCCGCCTTTTTCTCCCCTGGAAGCAAGGTGACCGCCACCTCAGAGTTTATTGGAAAGCCAGGTATGAGCTGGCGGTGATGGGGCAACTGCAGTCTCATAGGAAGGGGGGCGGTACTGGCTAGTCCTTCACACCCTATTGAGGTCACGAGTTGCCCCCCACGAGTGGCTCTCCGGCACAGCCATAACACCAGAACAGAAACCAATCTCGTAATTATCTGGCTCTTTGCAGAAATCTAAAATTATTATATGATTCTCATAACCAACTATAGAAAACAAAGTATTTCACAATGCCTTTTCAGCAATTCTGATTGTTGGGGGGGGTGGAATTCTGAATAATAATGGTGCATCTTTTGTCAAAATAATGAATGTAATCAATGTAGAGAAGAGTTATATAGAAATCACCTGCCTCACAGGCATTGGGAGGGGTGGAAGGGGGGTATATTGGGGTTCTTGGTGGTGAAAAATGAGTACTGGTGAAGGGAAAGGTGTTTGATCATTGTATGACTGAGGCTTAAATCTGAAAGCTTTGTAACTTTTCCCACAGTTATTCAATAGATAAATATAAGAAGAAAAAAATAAATAAAATTGTGAAAAAGAAAAAAAAGTAAGGTGGAGTTCATGCCCAATTCAATCAACAAATCAGTGGCTGAATAAATAGCAGTACTCCTACATTTAAAAAAAAAACTGTGTAGACTTCAATCCTTATCAGAAATGTTTTGGAAAACAAAATTAGAATGATTTATTCCTACTGATCACTATGTGATCCAACACATAATATACTGTTCGTGGGAAACCGGTTTCTTGATAACAGGTTTTTCATATTAATTTCAAATACTTCTAATTTATCCTTTTGTTTTTCTTTTGGCCCACATCTGGCTGTATTCAGGACTTACCCTTGACTCTGTGCTCAGGAAATTCTCCTGGTGGTGCTCAGATGCTGGGGAGCAAACCAGGGTCAACTGGGTGAGAGGCAAGACCCTTACCCGCTGTCCAATCTCTTTGACCCCTCAAATACTCTTGAAAAAGAAAGAAATCATATTCAAATTCCTTGATGATCCCTAAAAACACATATTCTGTCACCTATGACAGCATTATTCTCACTAAACTATGATCATGACTAGCAGAAATATTTTAAAAATAAGAAACAATTTTGGCTTCTAAAAATGGATCAGGGGGGACTGGAGAGATAGCACAGCAGGTAAGGCGTTTGCCTTGCAAGCAGTCAACCCAGGTTCGATTCCCAGCATCCCATATGGTCCCCCTGAGCACCCCCAGGAGTAATTCCTGAGTGCAGAGCCAGGAGTAACCCCTGTGCATCGCCAGGTGTGACCCAAAAAGCAAAAAGTAAATAAATAAATAAAATAAAAATGGATCAGGCTGCCCTTTCCTCATACATATACTCATAAAATAAATTGTGAACGCCCCTTTATACTATTAAAAATATGAATGAAGAGAAAGTGTGATCCTATTCTGCCTTTTATTTTTTTAAAGCGAGTTTTCATGGGCACAGACTCTAAAATTGGGATTTAATTCTGAGAGTTTAAGGATATAAGAAATCAAGCACATTCCAACAGCCCGGAATCTTTTGGCTCTGAAACAAAACCTCAAACTCTAAGGCTCAAATGAAATACATGTTCAAAATAGACATGAGTTCATGACAATAATATTTGGGGGAGAGGAAAAAAAAGCAGCACTGTAGGGCTGGAGAAATGGTAAAGGGATTAAGACGCCTGCTTGCATGCAAACTGCTTCGTGTGAATCTCTGATACCGTTCATGATTCTCTGAGCACCCCTGGGCCCCTCCTGAACTTCCTTCGAGGATCAGCCCTTGCGCACTTGGAGTTGTCACCTCAAAACCCAAACCAACAAAACAATAAAGCAAACAACAACAAAGGAAGCACTTCGATCATTTACCCTTTTATTTATCTTTTAAATAAATAAAATAAATAAAAATAAATATATTTTATTTATTTAAAAATTTATTTTTTTATTTATTTTATTTATTTCAAAATATCTTTTAAATAAATAAAATAAATAAAGGTAAAAGGTAAAGGTAAAGGCCCTCCTGTTGATCGTCGATTTGCTCGAGCGGGCCCAGTAACGTCTCCATTGGAGACTTTGTTGTTACTGTGTCTGGCATATCGAATACTCTCGGTAGCTTGAAAATAAAAAAAAATCTTTTAAATATAAATAATAATAATGGAGACACACTCAGAGAATCTCTAACTTAACCTAGT